AGAGGGGAGGGATGCTCCGCCCACCTTGGGACTGCCACCGCCAGTGTGGCAGATGTGACGGGAATGGCCCCATGTGCCAGATGCTGGCAGTCGAGAGGCTGCTGTGGCAGAAGTAGACAATTCTCAGAGTCCTCTATCCTATCCCCCCGTTGTGGTCCCTTTTCTAACCTCATGCATGTGGTCCCTTAACCCTTGCTGTCTTTTTTGAGGGGGGAGGACCAGAACGCCACACAGTGTATTTGTGGTGGGGATGTACCCGGAGCATTGGACAGTTTGGGGTGGCTGCCTCAGTCCACGCTCGGAGGACCCTGTGACAGCCACCTCGGGCCCCTGGGGGATTACGCCCACTCGTTTCATCAATCCCACGGTGCTTTTGGAACAGCCCTTAACCCTTGCTGTCTTTTTTGAGGGGGGAGGACCAGAACGCCACACAGTGTATTTGTGGTGGGGATGTACCCGGAGCATTGGACAGTTTGGGGTGGCTGCCTCAGTCCACGCTCGGAGGACCCTGTGACAGCCACCTCGGGCCCCTGGGGGATTACGCCCACTCGTTTCATCAATCCCACGGTGCTTTTGGAACAGACTGTGAGGAACGGACGCTCCTTGGAGGTGTTTATTCCCAGGCAAGGCCAGAAATTTCCGGCGGGGGAAGGGGCTCTCAGGAGTCCCATGAATCTCAGCGTGAGGAACGGACAGTCTCCGCTCTCCCAACAGACAGCCCCTGACTTCTGCTGCATCAGCACGTTCCTTGGGAGCGACTGGCTCGCACCGAAATCCCCAGCCCACCTGTCAGGCAATGGTTGTTGGCATCTCATCCCATTGCGTATGGCCAGCAGACTCACCCAGTGCTGCCTGGGTGCTTCAGGCCAGGACCTTGGGGATGTGTGGGGAGGATGGGGGGGTACAGGAGGGTGGCTGTTCTCTTGAGTTCTCGCTCCTCCAATCATTGACCTGACCTGGGAAGAGAACCCACGACCTTGTGCTTCCCAGACAAGCGCCCTATCCCCTAGGGCGCACGGGAACCCGCCCTACCACCTTGCCTTCAGGGAGCCACACACCCAAACACACCAGGGCCTGTTCTCTCCCCCGTAGACCCAACCAGCCACCAGAGAGGCCTGTTCGCTCCTGACAGACAGACACACGGACGGATGCACTCTAAAATCTACAGAGCGAGAGAGCGCGCATCTGTCCGTCGGTGCGTCGGCTTGTCTGTCTATTCAAGAATGCCTCCTAGACCGTAAGAGCTAGGACCACCACATTTGGTAGGCAGCTTCCTCTTACTTTAACTTGAACCAAGGCCGGGGGCTGTTTGTGCCAGGAAAACGGGAAGTGCCGGGAATGGGACTGTTCCCCATAACCTGGAAAGGGAGGGGGCAGAGAGAGGGAAGGGCCGTGATACTGAGAGCGGCCACTGGGGACAGCGGCAGCACACAGAGCGGCCAACAGGGCCGGGGCTCCATCATCTTGCCTGTCTGCACACCGGGAAGGTGCCCCCTGGCCCAGACCTGGAGCCTGCCCCTCCCCCGTGGAGATCCGCCCAGAGCCTGGTCCCTCCCCAGACAGCCTGCAGGCTCTGGGGGGGCGGGGAGAGGTGCTGGAGGGGGCAGCAGCCTCTGGACCCTGGTCTCCAACATCCTGCAAGCCGTGGCGGAGGGCAATTGGGTGGGGCGGCTGGCAGGGGAGCACTGCCCCGGCCCCCTGGGAGGAGTCACTGCCACCCTCACTGCCACGGGAGGTCCCCCTCCTCCCAGTCCCCTACTAGGGTTGCCAGATGGTTTAACCAAAAATACCGAACACCCTCCCCCCCCCCCAAAAAAAAGAAACATCTGGTTAAAAATTCTGTTGAGGGGGGAAAAAAAGGGAGAGACCAAAGTTGTTGAGCAAAAAAAAAAAGTAAAAATAAAACAGTATTAAAACAGCATGGCCCCTTTAAGAGTCAGAATAGGGCCATCTTGTTTTCTTGAGTGAGCCAGAAGGCAGCTTCCCTGCAGAAGCAGGTAAGCAGGGGGGCAGGCATTCGGGAGGGCGGGGGCTGGGCCCAGTTGCTGAGTGTGTCGTAGGGTTGCCAGGTGTCCGGTATTTTTGCCTCCTGGCTGGGAAAACCACCAGAAAATACCAGACATTTTAGGTATCCGGTATTTTCTGCATTTTTTTTTAACCAGACAGGAGGCAAAAATACCGGACACCTGGCAACCCTATCCCCTACCCTGAGCCCCCGGCCCTGAGTCCTGCACCTCCCACCTTCCTTGACTTCAGCACCCCCTCCCCCTGCCCTGAGGCCCCCCACACCTCCCAGCCCTCTGCCCTAAGCCCGCCACTCCCTGCTCCTCCTCACCCCCAAATTCTCACTCCAGCGTTCATTTTCGAAAAATACAGTCATCGAAATAATGCATGTCTATTTTTCATTTATTTTTCAAAAAAAAAAAAAAACCAACAACCCAGTGTTCATTACAGACTTGAGCAATGCCGGATACATGTGCTAGTGTGTGTGTGTGTGTGTATGTGTGCGCGTGCGCACGTGCGCCACAGAGATAAATAAAACAGCGGCCCTACTCCAAAGAGCTCACAAGCTAGAGCCCAGCCAGGCTGGTCTGGAGAGGGCAGCGTTTTCCAGCGAGGCCTCCCGTGTCCCCAGCCCCACGAATGTGGCCGGGCAGGTTCTGGGTGTGCAGAGCTGCCTCCGGGAGCAGCCCCGTGGTGGGAAGGGCGATACGTTATTTCCGTACGAGATCAAGACAAGCCCCTGATTTGCTCACACCTCATTGGCCGGTCCAGATAAGGAGCCAGATGAAACTGTCCCAAATCCTACCCCCCGCTCCGGTTGCAATAGTCCCCTTGGCAGCACGAGATAGACGTCGTGCCCAGCATGGGGTTATGGGGGTCTACTTTACACATGGGCAGGCACAGCTTGGTGATGCACGTCGCCCCGGAAGAACCTACATCAAAAAAGAAACATAGGCGGCCGTGGGTGCAGCTGCCTTCCCCTCAAGGCGGTCAGCCGGCCTAGTGGGGAGAGCAGGCTCATGTACTAGCTGCACTGGCATGCAAGGCCTGAGACCCCTTCATGATCACAGCAGCCACTTCCCTACAGTGGGACGCTGCACGCGGAGTTAAGGCAAACCATAGAGTCCTTGGCCCCTTGCTTCCTAGAGAGCACAAGGCTGTGATGTGCAGGGCAGGGGTGGGGAGGAGCTCCAGCAAAGAGCTCACTGTGGACTAGCCTAGTAGTTAGGGCAGGGCTGGCCAGCTCACGAGGCACGTGTGGCTCTTCACCCCTGAAAGTGCGGCTCTCAAAGCCTCCCCCCGGCTCGTGAAGCTGCCCCATGTGTCCCTACAATTGGCCCCCTGTACTGACGGGAGCCAGATGTGGCCTGCTCGTGGCTTTTAAAGGGGCAGCGTCCTTTTTTTTTTTTTTTTCTCTCAACAACTCTGGCTGTGGGGAACTGGTCCTTTTTTTTTTTTTTTTTTGCTCAACAATTCTGGTGCGGCTTTTCGTATTTTTTCCGCCATTGTTTTGGCTTGAGGAGAGCCAATTCCCTGCTGTTCCAGTGGGGCCTTAAGGCCTGGTTGCTTAGGTACCATTGAAAGCAACGGTAGTGAGGCAGCTTTGCACATCTCTGCCTCCGTTCCCCACCTGTTCAATGGCACTGCCCTCTCTCACAGAGGTGCGGCCAAGATAAATGCATAAAAGGCTTGGAGCGGCAATGGGGACCAGCGAAGCACCCGAGGGGTTATTTTGCTCTGCACGGAAACACACGGTGTTGGTGTCTGCTCTGCCGCTCCTCTCCCAACAAGGAGCGACCAAGAGCCAGGTTGTGATGGTGACAGGACTCCCACTGTTTGCAGCTGGTACAAGGTCCACTGCAAACAGCTCCTGGGTGGCTCGCCATACCGCACCAGCAGGGAGAAAGCGCTGTCAGACTGGCCTCGGGGAAGATCCCGGAGTCAGCTCTGCCTGGTCAGGCTCTTCCCCCTGCTGTACTGGGAGTGGGTGGGTGATGTCCAGCAACATCCTCCTCCCATGCATCTGGCCACTCCCCTTGGGGGCTGGAAAACACTAGCAGGTAACATCAGCCAGCTCCCCAGGCAAAGAGGTAGGTCAAAATTCTGACTGTCTCCTGCAGACGTGCTCTGGGAAGGGTGTTTCATCTTCCTGGGTTCCCAACACGGCCATGCACGGGCAGCCACAACTCAGAGCTAAGACCAGACATACTGGCTGCGTCTAGATTGGCATGATTTTCCGGAAATGCTTTTAACGGAAAAGTTTTCCGTGAAAAGCATTTGCGGAACAGAGCATCTAGATTGGCACGGACGCTTTTCCGCAAAAGCACTTTTTGCAGAAAAGCGTCCGTGCCAATCTAGACGGGCTTTTCCACAAAAAAGCCCCGATCGACATTTTCGCGATTGGGGCTTTTTTGCGGAAAACAAATCTCAGCTGTCTACACTGGCCCTTTTGCCTGAACGGGAGCAGAATAGTATTTCCGCAAGAAGCACTGATTTCAGACAGTAGGAAGTCAGTGCTTTTGCAGAAATTCAAGCGGCCAGTGTAGGCAGCTGGCACGCTTTTCCGGAAAAGCGGCTGATTTTCCGGAAAAACTGGCCAGTCTAGACACAGCCACTGAGTCCTCTGCTTGGAACACGCACTGACTTCCATGAATTGCAGGGACTTTGTACAGTTCCAGATGGACTGCAGTGCTTTTTTAATGATGTGCTTCCTGGTTCTTAATAAGGAGACTACTTAGCAATTATATAGGGCTATCCTAGTAAACAAACCTTGATTAAGTCTCCCAGCACCCTAGTGAAGTAGGCTGACTGAATATGATTATTTCTTTCCAAAGCTGGGAAAAGTGGGGCAGAAGGAGTGGAAGTGATGTGACCAAGGCCATGGGAAGAGTCAGTGTCATACAGCATGTGGAATTAATGCAAGCATTCCCAGTTCTCAGTGCTGTGCCCAGATCAGTAGGCAGACACTCTGCCAGCCCCTAAATGCTGCAACTTACTGGACTTGTCAGTGCCGGTTATTGTTACACAGTATTTGTCACCGTTGTCGCAGTCAGTGGGTGCCAGACACTGGTCATTGCTGGACTGGGCCATGCACGTGTAGCATTTTAGTGAGTGAGCTAAGGGAGGGGAAACACGATGCAGATCACAGGCATGTTCTGATGAGAGCTCACAAAGGTCTGTAACACATTCCTCCATCTGCCAACCTGTCTGCTCATAAACACCTAACCCACATTACAATACAGGTTACCTCTCTAAACTGAGAGACTCTTTGGTCCAGCAACACTAGCAGGACCGTGGGTCTTCCAGGACCAGAAAGTCTCAATGGAGGGCTGGTGTTTGGGAATCCTGCAGGCTGCCAGCAGCGGGCTGGGAGTCTGGCATGTGGCCCAGTGGAGCCGGCAGGGCATCAGGGCTGGTGGCGGGGAGAGGGGGACAGCAGGCTAAGGCAGGAGGGGCTGGGGACGGGGGGCCAGAAATGACCTCCCCTGGCCCAGCAAAATCCCTCATCCTGGCTCAGTCCGGTCCTAAGGATACCAGACCAGGGATGTCCAACCTTCGCACTTTTCAACACCCATCCGAAAATAACTGATTGGCACAGGGGTTTCTAATTGGGATGTTAAATCCCGGTTAATCAGTTAACTGGCTAACCAGTAAGTTTCCCCAATGTTTAACTGCTTAAGCGACCAATGTGGGGTCCTGGACTGGGGACCGCTGCAGGCTGGCTGTGGGGAGGGCGGTCTTCCTGTGGCCAGAGCCCCCCGCGGTGGACCCCCTGCGACACTGACGCAGCCCTTTGCCCATGGCTGCTTCACTTAACTGGAACCAATAAACATTACGGCTGTGTCTACACTGGCCACTTATTCCGGAAAAGCAGCCGCTTTTCCGGAATAACTTGCCAGCTGTCTACACTGGCCGCTTGCTTTTCCAGAAAAGCAATGACGATCTAATGTAAAATCGTCATTGTTTTTCCAGAAAAACTATGCTGCTCCCGTTCGGGCAAAAGTCCTTTTCGGGAAAAACTATTCCGGAAAAGGGCCAGTGTAGACAGCACAGTAGTCTTTTCCGCAAAAAAGCCCCGATCGCAAAAATGTCGATCGGGGCTTTTTTCCGGAAAAGCGTGTCTACATTGGCCACGGACGCTTTTCCAGAAAAAGTGCTTTTCTGGAAAAGCATCCTGCCAATGTAGACGCGCTTTTTCCGGAAATACTTATAACGGAAAACTGTTCCGTTTTAAGCATTTCCGGAAAAGGGTGCCAGTGTAGACATAGCCTACCTGTTTAGAGTGATGCTAACTGGGCCACCGGTTCACTTTTCACATCCCTAGTTTCTATGCCAGATCCCTGCACTTCACGGTTGTACATCCAATGGTGCTCGGCATCAACGCTTCCTAGCAGGAAAACCCTCCCACAACGAATGCACAAGAGCACTTGTGCAATTCTATGCGCACGAGACTGGCGTGCGTCATTCTCTGAGATAGGAAAGTGTGATCGGCCTCGGTGGACAGCGGGGCACAGTGACGCACGCGGTCCGCCTGGCGTTGCCAAGCTTTCGGTAGTCGGATAGGGCTGGGACCAGGCCAGGAATGGATGGAATCCATTGTACAGAAAGGGTCCACAAAGTTATTTCACTTACAGCTGAGACACATCACGCTGGCGGCTGCAGGGGGAGGGAAGACTCTATTCTGGAATCAGATGCTAGATAGAGCTGACCCCTCCGGTCCTCTCCAGAAATGCTGGTCTCCAAGCCGTAACACTAGCAACACACGTCATCTCAGAATACAATCCCCTACCTCCCCCGCATCCCCATCCTCTCTTGCATCGTCCGGCCCAAGAGAATTGCTGGAAACCTCACCTTGCCCAGCGCACAGGACCGCAGCCAGCAAGACGGACAAGCACAGCCTCATCTTGGCTTGCATTCCTCAGCCCACACTGCCCAGGCAGCATATGTACCTCCCCAGGGCACCTGTGACTACGAAGGCAGCAATTTTAATGCTCTGTTCCTGATTCGGGCTGGATCACTAGGAACAACACGGATCCACGTGGCAGCTGTGCCAGGGAGTTGCTGCAGGCTTACAGGGCGCTGACGCCTCATGGGAACCAAGTTCTTGCTTTTCCCGCATGGCCGTGGTCCCAGCTTGCGTGGCCTCAAGGGGGCTGAGTGCCAGGGGGCAGCTGGGAGGGGTTAGGGATGAGGTCACACCCCAGACTGTAAGCCTAGTGATTCTTTTAAGGAAGCATCATAAGACTGTGGACATCACTTCTTGAGCAGAGCTGTGGTAATAGCTGGAGGGTGTCCTGCTTCCCCCCAGTTGTGTTAGGACTCACACTAGTAAAGTCGGGTAAATGAGCCCGACCAATTAGAAAGATACTGTCCACCCACGAGGTGTTTGAGCGCTTTACACTCTCCACAACTCAGGGACGGATACGTGACTTTTATTTTAAATACGCAGCAGGTTGCAAATAAACAAAAGGAAATATTGACTCACACAACGCACTGTCAACCTGTGGAACTCCTTGCCAGAGGATGTGAAGGCCAAGCCTAACAGGGTTCAAAAAAGATCTAGACAATTTCCTGGAAGACAGGCCCATCAATACTTACTAGCCAAGATGGGCAGGGATGGTATCCCTAGCCTTTGTTTGCCAGAGGCTGGGAACGGATGATAAGGGAGGGATCACATCCGTGTTCTGTTCAGTCCCTCTGGAGCACCTGGCATTGGCCGCTGTCTATACTGGGACTGAATCTACACTGCCGGTTTTTTTGCAGCAGAAGATATGCAAATTGCGCTCTCATTTTTATATCTTCTGCCGATCCTTTTTGCAAAAGCGGTTTTGCCACTAAAAAATCTCATGTAGACGGGGTCGTTTGTTGGGGAAAAAAAACCCCTTTTGTGCAAGATCCCTTCTTCCTCAAAAAATGAGGTTTACGGGGTCTTGCACAAAAGGGTTTTTTTCAGACAAACGGCCCCCGTCTACATGGGGCGTTTTAGCAGCAAAACCTCTTCCGCAAAACGGGTCGGCAGAAGATATGCAAAGGGGGCAATGCAGGAGATCAGGCTGGGGGGCGGGGAATCAAGGGGCTGAGGGGAGCAGAGGGAAGATGTGAGGGGGGGGATACAATTTCCCTTTACAGTGGCTGCACTTCCCTTTGCTCCCCTCTTCTTTGCCTCCCTCCCTTCCCCCACCACAGCACGACCCACTTTGCACCGTATTCTGTGTGAATGAGGGTTTCAGCCCCTTTGCAGGCGCTGCGCACCCCCTCCCCCGATATCTGGCAGGTCTGCCCATCGTTCGGTAATCCGCAGCGCCCCCTGGCATCAGAGCTGGGACACTGGCCCCCCTCCGGGTCCCCAGCTCTG